CTACCACACACACACACACACACACACACACACACACACACACACACACACACACACACACACACACACACACACACACACACACACAGAGTACTCTCAAAAGCTATTTTGTCATTTACATATTGTTTAGGCCTTTGATAGAACTTGGGGATTTTCTGAGACACACAAAGGCACAAAGCACAAACTTAATAACATACATCAAAACTACTAATGCAAGATGTACACTACCAGTCAAACGATTGAGATCACCTCCATTGGTTCAGTTGCTGTTAGTGTAATTCAACAGTTCTTTCTACAACTGAAATCAAACGGAGTGGCATCACTGTTACACAAGTCCCCACAAATGTCTTGAACTTGCAAGCTGCTTTGCTTTCACTCTTCATCTGGAAAGTTTGGACACTGTGTTGGCTATTCCATCATTTAAAGCTTATAGCCTTGTTCTTTTTTCCTGCACAGTCTGGATGTGTTTTTGGGTCATCATCCTGCTATAGGAAACTCTGAAAAGGACCAAACTATCTTTTTCCAAATAATGCTTCAGAAGGTGTAGTAACACAGTGGTTTCTAGTTTCAACACACAGAATTTGTTGTTGTAAGTATTCAACAAAGGTAAGAACTCTTTGCATCAGTTTTCAAGATTTAATTTATTTCCAGGGCAGCAGAAAAGATGGAAGCTAACCTAAACTTGTCCTCTGAAAATGGCTTGTTTTATATGAAATGCACATACATTTTTAGTTTTGTTGACTTTTTTAAAGTTTGTTTTTGTTTACTTCGGAGCTTTGTATCATTTAACTGGACCTCAACAGCTTAAATGTCAAAAACTAGAAAAAGAGGGATAATCTCAAATTTTTGAGATCAGAAAATGTGTCTATCACCAACAAACTGATAAAACCTAGATTTTAAAACCCAGTAAACCGTGCAGGGAATGAAGAGAAATACTGTTATTATACTGCATTATAGCAAAAGAATACATTTTGGCCTACAAAGAAAATTAGTCCTTTATGCTACAGTCACTCACTGTGCTACACACCTGCTTTGTTTAAATTGGCTTGTAAAGTAAGTCCAAAGAGCGTGGACCAGCCCAGACTGCTTATTTATATGCTAACCAAACTTCTTAGCTTTATTATTTGCTGGTACAGGCCTTGTAAAATTTAAAAAGCCCATGGCATGCTTTTCCTTTTTTTGACTTATCTACAATATTACAACGGTGAATTGTCATCTTAGACATCACCTAAAGGTCAAAAAATGAGGTGTAAATATGTTCTAGTATTTCTATGCAACGGTTTATACACGTTTTGCAAACTCTCAATCACGAGATTTTTTTTTTCTAGCAAAATTAAGTATTGGGTAGTAGTTTAAGGATCTCTTTGAATGGACATAATCTATCCATTGTAAAAGCAGAACTTGCACACGGTTTTGTGGATATATTTTACCTTCTGCTGCTGCACTGTGACCAGAGCATGTTGGAAAAAATACAGGGCCTGAGGTTACTGCATGTCCAGAAATCTTCCTGTACAGGGACTCGTTGTTTTACCCAACCGGGTCTAACCTACAATCAGCCGGCCAGTGAAGCACCCTGCGGTGGTGAATGATCAGCTCATTAATGCTGGTTCCCCCAGAACACAGTGCCTGTTTGTTTTGACTGCTTTAAGATAGTAATACATATGTCACGTATAGTAACCTCTATATATGAAACAGTTTAAAGCCCAAAACACTTAAGTTTTTAGTTTTTTTTTTAAACCAACATATCCTCAGTTATGAACACAACTACCAAAAGATTTCATTCTCATCTGCAGCCAACAGGAGGCAGCATAGTCCAATCAAACTCCTTCCCAGGTTTTGTCAGGTTCAAGATGAAACTGGCTTCTTAGATTATTTTTATGATTTGACATGAATGAACAAAGGAATCATCCCAAATTATACAGTATGTCAACAAAGTCATACATTTACTTAAAAACATCTGCAAAATGTTCACAACTGAACATTCTTGCATGTGTAAAATACACAGGGTTTGAAAGATAAGTTAAATTTAAAACATGGCTCAAGTTAAGACATCAAGATTCATTTGCTCAGCCTGTTACATGTGCAGACCCAAGCTACACCTAATAAATATACAGTTAAGCATTAGCTAATCCCCTGCTAGTGAACTGTTTGTCATAGCTAGGACTAGAGGAAAGATGTTAGCCATCATAAAGAGGACTATTTCAGTGGTTCAAAAGTGCATCAAAAGGAATATGACCCTATTATGCCAGGCAGTGAAAGAAAAAAAAACTGTTAATTCCACTTATGATATAGAGTGACACTATGCTAGTTATTGCCTTCATACACTTCAGCTTTTCTGCGGTTTTCTAAATGACAGCATTTCTATTAGCCCCAAGTTGGGTTAAATTCACAATTATCTATCAAAAATAAGGTAAGCTAGATTTATTAGGCTGATTTTCCCATATAAGGCACCCCAGTCAAGTCTTATATATAAATTGGGAGGGTGGAGAGATTCACAGAAAGGATGGCAAAGGAAATTCAGAATGCTGAGTCAGGTCCGGATGACAGACAGCAGATCATGGTGGGGTCACATCCTGGAGAGAAAGTAGATATGCACAGACTTCCCTGTGAGTTTTGTTGGTCCCAGAGCTGCCCCTTAACCTGTCCCACAACCTCAGTGGAACCAGTACTGAACTGCTTTCAGACAGTGAGAGGCCATAAACAAACTGAGGCCTGAGAACTGAGAATCCTTACAGAGAAGATCAATCTGGTGTTGTGACAGAAAAAGTTCCCTTATCTTATTTCATTCTTAGAATTACATTTGCAGTATAATTATTGTTAGTCTACTTTTCTATACCTTTCTCGCTTTGTGCTTATATTTACTCTCAGTAAAACTCCCAGTTACGATACAATATAGAAATGGCTGCCAAAGGGAGACAGACATTATCCAAAAGACAAGGACATTGAGTCACACACCTACCAAGGATCCTGCTAAACTTTTTTTGAGAACACTAAGCATTTTAAGCCTACATGAATAAACAATAGGTCTGTGTCTGTATAGCACATCTGGACACTGCTCTTTCACCAATTTTACCTTGAAAAACAAGTTCTCAATTAGATTCAAGTGGACACATATATATTTTTGTCTGAAGGTTAGTGTTCAGGTCTAGGGTCTTTGTACTGCTAGAAAATTGGTCTTCTTCCAAGCTACAAATCTGTTAGCAGCTGTTTTTCTTCCCTCTACCCTTACAAACCTTCCAGAATCAGTGAAACCACCACAACATGACGTTTCCATCACCACGCTGATGGGAACAGAGTGTTTCATACCATGCTCCATCATGCTGGGCATGCTGATGCTAATGTGTCACATTAGGTTTACATCAAAAACAGCATTTTAGTACAGTGTCTAAAAAAAAAAAAACCTATATCCACTGGTCAAATACCCAGGCAACAGCTATGTACATCATCTCTCAACACAACCCTGAACCCTTGGAGCTCCTTCAGACTTACGTTGCCTTCAATATTATGAGTGATACTCAGCACCTTGAAAAGTTTTCATATTATTTTCAGTGACAATGTTGCTGATTTGTTTGAATGTTCCTTTGTATTCATGAGTTAGTTGTTGACAGGGAATTGACTTAAAAGCAGTTTCATATATCAAGTGTATTTAACTTACAATCACTGGCCCCGCCTTGATTACATACAGATCTCCACCGTGCTTGTTAAATGACTTCTACAACCAAGCAAGAGCAGTGATGACTTAGCTGTGTCAAAGTACAGGGACTGAATACTCGGGTCATGTGGTGTCTGAAATTTGGGTCAATGAAAAACCACTGACCTTTTGAAAATATGAATAGGTCAATATATATGTAAGAAAAGGTGCTAAATAAATCTGTTGCTAAACCTTTGTGTTAAAAAAAGAACACGTAAGCTTGAATTATAGCAATACAGAAGGAGCAGCCTATGTAAAGGATGAGATGAGACTTTTTCTTTATTCAGCATCTTCAGCTGTGTTGTTGCTTTCTCACAGGGATCAGGTCTCTCATCTGCCAGTTCTACTGCAGCATCACAAACTACAATGGTGAATGCCTTTCTGGCAGCAGACACAAAGAAATCCTGAAAGGGAGGAGCAAAGGCTGGTGGTGGCGGTGGGGGGTGGTTGTGCTCCAGCAGAGTTTAGGGGGAGGGACAAAATATTACCCCCTCTAGATATCCATTACTCAAACAGGCCCAGCATGGGGGATCGCCCTCCCTCGCATCAACTCATGAAAAAGGGGTTACATACCCCCACAGCCAGCTCAAAGAACGCATGCACACACACACACACACACACACTCACTGGAGATGTGCACTGTATTTCAGTCACATTTGAATTCTAGTAGGGACCCAGGTGATGGAGACAGTCAGGGAATATATTTCCCATCTACCTGCGGGGATACAAACAGGAGCTTTCCAGAGGAATTTTTTACACAAAATAAGAGAGCAGCAATGTTGAGCTGTGTTGTTCTTCTCAACCTGTCATGCAGCATTAAAGTGTACTGCAAAGCACAAAGCTGCAAAATGGTTTTTGCCCCACAAACCATCCATTGATAGCTCCACCACACACTATTTTGAGGCTGTCGGGACAAAGGCTGCTAGGGCTTCTGATTTGTTAGGCTGACTTGTGTTACTAAAACAAATGATACACATTCACAATAGGCATTATACGCAAAGGAGAAGCTGAATTTGTGATAAAAATGGCAGAAATATCAATTCAGCTTAGGCTGTAACTGACTGTGCTTGATGTAGAAAGCAAAATGATTAGGGTGGATAATCTGCTGGCTGCAAAATATCATTCAAGTTCATCTTTTGCACATGTATCATGACCCGTGTTACACAATACAACCTCTGGGATAACACGATAGTTGTACATGTTTGTGAGCACAAACGTATCCACTGATATTATATTCATGACAACATATGATCCAACATTTCTAACCTAATAAAAGAGAAAGTCTGCATCAGCGCAGCAGAGCTGGGGATCAAAGCAACCCCATATCTGTCCTGTGCACACCACTCAACGCAAGCTTATCTCTCAGGGCACAGGTGAAAGCACAAGTTGTCACAGGAAGGGGCTAAAAGGGGACAGAAGAGGGTTAAGCTGCTTTCAATATTAGCTCATTTTGAAAAGATGACTGCATAAATATGTAGGAGGCAAAAATCCAGGCTTTATTTACAGGACAGATGAGGGTGATGTGTGCAGACAGGCAGGGTGGCTTTCGAGTGGAGAAAATTGTAGGGAAATATAGCGAGCTACACTTCATCCTTTTAAACAGGTGAGGAGCACAAATCTACTGAAAATGAAAAGTGTCAGTGTAATTAGAAAGTTAGCAGGCTAAGAAGGCCATAGACACAAGCCTTAATCAACTACAACTCATATCATTGTCTAGCCTGAGGCTACTGCAACAAAAGCATGAACTGGTCAGTAGGCTTGGATCCAAAATTAAGGATTTGATTCTCTGCTCTTTTGGGCATAATGCAAGGAACATTCCCACTCACTACTCCAGGGTTATCAGAAAAACTAGCACAGGACATACCACAAAAGAGTGAAAAACAGACTGCTGCCCATTTCTTAAATTTGCTGCCATCCTTACAGCCCTGCCCTGAGCAAATGTAGAGTAACTGGAGAGCTGTCTGTTTGTTTTGGAAACTGGAGCAGACACAAGACATGGCTCCCATGATTTGCATATTCACCAGGGTTTTAAAAAAATAAGGGATGAAGTGAAAACCCTCCCACACAACCTGCCGAAGGCTGGAAACTCACTAAGCTCAGGCTTTTTCATCCGTACAATCTACAATTGATTTCCAGGCTATTTGAAGCTAATTCAGGAAGTAGCTAGAGCTGCGGTATGGCACCATGGAAACTGTGATCCCAGCCCAGATTTGAGCAGTAAATAGGTTGAGGCTATAACAGCTATCGGTGGAAATCAGAGATGCAGACATCAGCACAGAAAATGACAAATGACTTACTTCAAAAATAAAGAGGATGGAGTCCAGCTCCTCCCTTTGAGATTTGTTCCCTGAAACACAAGGAAAGCACTTAGGTTTATAAACACATAACCTGGTGCTATACTGCATTAGCTGCATCAGTAGTGTAACAGTAAAAAGGTACTTGTTGTCATGAGAGTAAGTAGTATGTACTCCCCGTGGGAACGAATCCTGTGCCAGTGACAATGTTATACTGGCTATACTGGCTATATTGGACATAATTAGAAACTGTGGAGAGGGTTAAATGCTGAACCATTATTGAGAGCTGGTGGTCAACTAGTCAGTGATCACTGATCAATTTTAAAACAAAAATGAATACTCACCTCTTTGTTTTAAGTTGCTTTCCAGTGTAATGAAATTTTCATAGAAGATAAAATAAATCTGAGAACAGTTGCTCTCGAAGAATGCCTTCAGTTCACTCTTGTCAATGATATCTGTGGGGAAAAAAGGGAATCACTGTCAGTGATAGCTAGAATGAAAAAAAATTGTATTATTAATTATTTTATATTTTTACACACACACAGGCATGCACCCAGTCCATGGATATACAGTGGTACATCTGACTTTGCTTAACTCTGTGGATCTGGGTAATAACTTATTGTTAAATGAGAATTCTGTAAATCATTCACTAAGATTGTGGTATAATTTATTATACATTTGTGTTTTCCCTGAATCATTCTACTTGTTTGGTCTTAAAAACAATTTTGTAAATGATTTTCTTTCTCAGCCATCCAAACATTGTCACATTTTATAGATGTTGTCTGCATTGTTTACTGTCTGTTTATACTGCTTTTTCTGCATTGTTTGCACTGTTTGTTGATGTTAATACTGCTATTTTTGTTCTATTACACAGCCTTATTACACAGTTTACCGTTTTGCACATTGAGAGCCGATGTACCTGAGTCAAATTCCTCGTGTGTCCATCACACCTGGCCAATAAAGCAGATTCTGATAACTAGGCTAATATCTGAATCTACATCATGGACTGTAAGTATACAGACATTTGAACAAAGCTGACACTATAAATCTACAGGACATACTGACCTATTTTAGACACTTGAATGCTTCAGAGTACTCTTGTTTGTCTTTAATTAAAAGTGGCCATGGAAGTCACTGTCTCTTTAATTCAAATGTGACATGGTTTTTATATCGTTTGGTCTATCACTAACGGGGCATTCATATATTTAGTAAACTTCATAAACAGCCAGTTACAAAAGGAAGGTGCTCAGAAAAGAAAAACAAAACAAGGGAAAATGACAACAGAGGTGCAAGGGACTTTATGGCCAGGTATTTAAAGCTTACAGCTTACACATGTCATCACACGACAGGCCTGCATCAATGTGCTACTAAAGACCCGCACAGAGGATTTTCCTCTTTGCTGTAAACCTATACACCACTCCACAATCTTGATTACTGTTTTGTTACAGCCCTATGATTTTCCATACATGTAGCAAAAAGCCAAAGCATAACTGAATATGCACACAGCAGGATAATTCATTTTCCTCAAAAGGTCACAATTTAGGATGTTAGTTTCTCAGCTTGGATGAGTTGGGGCTTCATCTTTGTATGGCCTTCTAGAGATGGAAGGGGGTGGTGGTCTGGGTAGAGGCCAAGCTCGGGTCTGCTGACGGTGACAGCAGCTTAGGGTACAATAGTTAATGAGGGAAATAGGAGGCCTACAAACACACTAGCACTGAAAAAAATCCCAAATTCATGTAATGAACCTCTATCATTTGGCATACTTTTACAACCATGGTAATGAGATAGGACTGGTGTGAATAATCAAATATAGGCCAGGAGGAGTCCTGGCATAATAACAGCAATTAAGGTTCACCTTCTGTTGCAATTCTCCCCTTACCACATGGCAAACTGGAAGACTCCCAGAAGCAGTCCAGCTCATGGGGTGTGTTGGAATTATGCAGGGTGAGACAAAGACCCAAATAACCTATCTTTGTCCAGAGATTAAAGCAAAGATAATGATGATGCACGAAAGTAAGATCAAATCAACAATATGACTGCCTTTAGTCAAAAGCCAGGACATAGGAAAAACAAGCATGGCATCAATTGTGAATCTGAGGAGGCTGACTGGCCCCTTAAAAGTTAAGAGGTCAACAAAAGTAGAAGCTGGGTACAGATGTGCCTTTAAAAACAAATCAATATAATGTGCAAAACACTTACGGGTAACCTACGGGTAGCCATTATGTAGGCATTAGATCTCCACCTTTTCCAATCTTCATCCACATTTGCACACAAAGAACACACCCAATGCTTGAGCTCCACCTCTCAAAGAAGGCAATACTTTCATAAATGCTCCGTGCTCGTGGTGTCCAGCTAATCACATCTGCGTATGCTTAAATTCACATTTAAGCATAAACACTACACACTGTCACACACACACTGTGAATCTTCAGGAAAACTCTATTGGTAGGAGTAATGGCTGTCAATGCAGTGCCACTGAAAAGTACATACAGCAGTGTTGCCCTCTCACACAAACTGCTACAGAACAGCCAACACCAGAGAAAGTCTGCATGCTAGTCATGAAGTACAGTTACTCCTGTGGTCAATATGTTGCGTGACTTAAACTTCCCTGAAAAACATCAGGCTTACTGTGGAGCTGGAAACATTCGCTAACCTAGCTAGCTTGCTTTCAGCATAAGCAGCTGGAATGATAAACTGCTGTGCTATACCAAATCAGCGCTCCTGGCTGAAAATCCCATGGGCCATTATGCTGGAAGAAGTGTGCAGTCAACTGCGGAGAATGGAATAGAGCTTATATCCAGGTGGACACCTCTAAAAGACAACTACTTTATTATAAATTTTGTGTTAAAAATGTCCAAATACATTTTTCTTTGGGTTGGTTGTTTTTAAAAAATCCATTGTTTGTATAATTTCCCAACACAATAATACACCGCTGCTGCATATCTAAAATGGTTATTTAAGTTGTGACACATTTATCCTACTGTAGGTATTAAGGACCAGAAATGTGACTCTGACCAGTGCCCGAGGGATGGGAGTTTCAGTCTTGTCACACCACATGATACAGTTTTGTTTTTTTATTACTGTTTGTTCTGTTGGGAGGGTTTCCTGAATGCTGGTTAGGCTGCAAGCTCTGGAAAACTGGAAAAAACAGGATGAGTATATCCTACATGAAACTAAATTTGGAAGGTCAGTGTATGTGTGTGTTGTTGAGAAAGCATGAGTATTATTTATCATGCTTCTCACTGAGTGGGCTGTTTTTCCAGATAAAGCAGGTTTCAGCCAAATTACAGCTGACTTGCATAATGCTGTTGCATTCAACAACATTACACAGATAATGGGCAAAGAACAGCTTTGGTCTGTGTTCTATAATTAGAAAGTAGACTTTCTTAATTAAAAAACAAGTGAAATGAGTACAAATAATGTACATGCATACATGAGAGTGACAGGAAAAGGACAGAGAGGAAGTCCATAATAATTATTTAACACTCATTTGAACATTGCTGTTATTACGTGTGAGTAGTTGAGTCAGTTTTGTCATGCTGCATGTCAAACATCCACCAGAGCCTGTCATCCTCTGCTCTCCAGCCTTCAGACTCACTGCTCCCTAAGCCACTGGAGCATGACAGATGGTAGGAGAGGTCTTAAGGGGAGAAAAGAAAAATTTTAAAGAAGAAGATTTCTGACAGCAAGCTAGAATCTCACTTGGACACTAACCATCTTGGAAAAGGCTGCCAGCCTCCAGGTACTGAAGTTCAGACAAAGAAATTCAGCTCTGTGACTTAAAGCTGTAGCAGAACAACTGTCCATGCAACATATATCTATACCCACGGACGGATTAAGACACAATGGGCGCCTGGGCACAGACATATAACCAGTCCCCACCCTCCTTACATAGGAGCAAATTCAAGACTGAAAGAGGACCTCTAAAAATGTTCTGCATCTCTTTTCAGCTGTTTAGTGTCTTTGTGGAGATTTTGCCTCTCTTTGTGGTCATTTTGTGTCATTTTGCATTTCTTTGTGGTCATTTTGTGTCTTTCTGAGGACATTTAGCATGCTTTTGTAGATGTTTTTGCATCTTTTTGTGGCTATTTTGTGTATCATTTTGGTTGTTTTTAGTCTCTTTCTGGGACATTTTGCAGATGAGCTCCAGGGCCCCCCCTTAGCACTCAGGCCATACCTCATAAAAAGCCAGTAATAAATGAACATCCTGAAAAAACTATCAATAACTAATGACATGCTATGTCAATAATGATCTGCAGGCTAAGTAAAAGTTCTCTTTTTCATGCTCCCTGGTTTCAGTCTCATTTTTGTGAAGGCAGTGTTTGGCTGAAAGGATGAAGCTGTATAATGGCTGTCAGCACTGTGAGCAGGGATATCCACAGAGACCCTTCAACTCAGTGGGTTTCACTGACTTCTCAAGTAACAGCATGCGGACTGAAAGAGATAAAACCTGTTCTACGGGACTTGAGAATGCAGGGAATGACACTGTATCCTCTGAGTCCAACAGGATAACAGTGTTCTTCAACTGACACCTTCCTGTCTGTGAGACATGCCACACACAGGAAAACACTGTTGGGTGAACAACAGCTGTAGAGAGCTGGGATCAAAGAGGGCTGTTATGAGGGGAGGAAACCTTGTGTGACTGCAGCTGAATGAGCTGAAATCTTGGCTGTCTGAAGAAGCAAAGTTAATCCGGACCCCCAGTGATCTGATTCCCACATAATAGCAGTTCTTGTAGAAGGGAGAGTGCTGAAAGGGAAAGGTGAAGGGATGGAGGGGTGCTAGGAAGACATAGCCAAGTTTAGTAACAAAATAAACCAGGGATCAATTCTTGCCCCAGATGCCGTCCTAGTACTGTATTTCTACTTATTAGTGCAGCTAAATACTCAGCTAGGGCCTATCAGATGCCTAAACTACAGTAAACTGACCATTCTGCAAGGGGATTATTACGTCAGTTGTTAACAGACTACAAACTGTATGAGCAATGGTCTAGATACTGCTGACAGTGATAACTTAATGACGCAGACACCCACAATCTTCTATAGTTGAATTAATAAACACGTGCCAAACAGACAATGGCAGGTTTAGGTTGGATGACACTTGTTCTCCATTGTGATATGCTTCCTGTTAACTGTCAGGGAAGGGCAGATGTTCCACCTCCGTGTCAGAGGACCATCTGGAAAATAATAATGTGCAGCCAGACACGAGGGCTGTAATGTAATATTTTGGAAGGCAGAAGAACACAGCATTTTTACAAGTGGAAGCAGATATTATCGGCACACTGTAGTTTCCACAACAACAGCAAAATATCCCTCCCAAGCATGTGCACAAAGCAGTAAGCACACTGGACTTGTTAGTCAAAAGGTGAAGGTTAACCAGTTACACTGAAGCCTGTGTTATATTTACACAATCAAAACCAAACACCAGGCTACTCTGTCCACAGTTCCCTGTTCAA